TAAAAAAAGTAAAAAAAGTAAAAAAAAGTAAAAAAAGTAAAAAAAGTAAAAAAAGTAAAAAAAGTAAAAAAAGTAAAAAAAGTAAAAAGTAAAAAAAGTAAAAAAAGTAAAAAAAAGTAAAAAAAGTAAAAGTAAAAAAAGTAAAAAAGTAAGAAAAGTCAAAAAAGCCAAAAATAAGTATAAAAAAAGTCAAAAAAAGTCAAAAAAAGTCAAAAAAGTCAAAAAAGTCAAAAAGTCAAAAAAGTAAAAAAAGTCAAAAAAAATTCAAAAAAGTCAAAAAAGTAAAAAAAATCAAAAAATGTCGAAAAAGTCAAAAAATGTCAAACGAAGTAAAACAAAAACCTTTAATTTTTAAATTATTTTTATTGTTTGTTATAGCAATAGAAATACACATTCTATGAAAATTTCAACTGACTACCTATTACGAATCATGAGATACAGCCCGTTGACAGACGGACGGATAGTGGATGCTTAGTAATAGGGTTGGTAACCCTTCGGGTACGAAACCGTGTTTTGTAGAAATACATTTGCACACATGTAACATAAAAATTAATTGGGTATATTTAACAGTTTTACTATAGTTCAATCCAAACAGTTTTTGCACCATGCTTATCGTGAAGGAAGGCTACTATTTACATTCTGAGAATAGAAAAAATGGAGTTACAAGTGCATGCTTTGCCACCGTTCTGTTTTTCAAATAAAACATTATTTAAAGAGACTATTAACATTTTTAAATTATAAAGTGTTTTTGACAGGTCGTTTGATAGACCTCATGGTACACGAGCATCATCTGGTGATTATTAAAATATTACTCCTCATTGGAAAAAATAGCATTAATACACTAATGATATAGTATCTTGTTTTTAAACTGAGTATTACAAGACAGCTTTGATTTTGCTTACTAAGTGCAGAAGGCTTGTTACTTTGATACCTTGGGACTTCTCATCTTGCTCAATCTCCATAAATGTAGGCTAGTAAATTTAACGCATCTGTAGATTCCATTAGAAACTGAAGTCGAGAATATCTATTTATTGCTGATGAGTTCCAATAGGGAGGTAAACGGTCCAAGAATGACGTTTTCCTTAGTAAGCAAAATTAAAGCTAGAACGTTAAAAATTGTAATCTATCTCTGCTGTTTTTCTTGGAATATAATTCAATGCCTGTTGCGGTACTATTCAAATAAGTAATTGTTTTTTGAAGAAAATCGTCCTATCACATTACTGTCATACATGGCTTAAAGAAATTCATAGTTTTATTTATTTTATTTGTATAAGTTATAATTTGATAAAAAAATAGGTTTTTTAGATTTTAGACTCTAACAAACTACATATGGTTATTTTTAATATAATTTTATTTGGCACATATCGTATTATGTAAGTTCAAATTCACTCTAATAATGTCTAATAATATTACCGCCCTTTTTTGCAAAATGACTATGCCCGATCGATACGTTTCATACATATTAATATTGTTTCTTTGTGTTTTTCATGGGAGTGTCTACGCGTTGAGTTTTTGGAATAGATTGTTGAGGGAAACTCTTTATGTAGTTGTCGAATATCGTGATTAATGATTTGTGCAAATTTCTCAACATTTTGTACATTAATAATTACCACTTAGTGGAGCAACGAACGTTGAGGTCCGTTTTTGTTGTAATGGAATTTCTTTGTGTAAAAAATGAATCGTAGATTTGAGTTTAGTTATAACAAAAAAATAGTTGTGGAGGTACCTAGCCGTGCAAAGAACTATTTATTTCTTTTGTAATAATCATTTGCTGAAGTAGGTTAATTACATATTGATAGGTTTTAACAATGAAGCTTTTATGGCTTTACTTAAGACTCATAATTTTAATTTTCTTATAAAAATGATAAATCGTGGGCTTACAAGCAAAAGGTATTATGTCAAAAAATAGGTTTATGATTTATAAGTAATTTAAAGTTTTAATGAAGTCCTAATTTTTTTATAAATTATTTAGGGATTATCAACTGCTTCAAAGCACTTTAAAAATGCACTGTTTTTACACGATATACAAAAATATAAACCCATTTTAACAAATTTTTACTTTTGCTTGTAAGCTCACGAAATATTAAATTAAAATAAACAATGAGACAGGTAAACATTATGTTAAATTTCGTATTAAATTCACAAATCATTTTAAAATCTTTTACTTACGTGCAAAACTTTTTTTAGGCGTTAAATTTCAAAACTGTAAAATATTTAACTGAATTAATTGATTAGATAATCAGAAATTTAATTTATATTTTTCTAGGGAGGGACTTGTTTTCTTATATTTTCATAATATTATTTTCATCCCACTTTCATTAAATTTTCATAAATAATTCGTCAAATTTTCATAAAATTTTTATTTTTATTAAATCTTCATCAATATTCTTCACATTTTCATCAAATTTTCATTAAAAAACATTTTCCACACCAATTTTATTCGCAATATTTTTTCATGTCTTCGTTGCCAAAGAAAATTCGGAAAAATATGAAATTTTGCAATTTTCCTCAAATGTCACCATTACAGTCCATTTTAGAGAAATCATGCATAAATTACAGAAAATAACATCTTAAACAATTTTTATTTTAAGAATTTTCTTTTCTAATCCCAAATAATAGAAATATTCGTCAACCCTTTTGACCTGATTATTTACCAGCCACGTAAAAAAATATTTTTGAATGTGAAAACGTTTGTGGGCAAGGTACAGCCAAAAAAATTTTTTTTTAATATTATTTCGAAAGCTATTAATAGGCCTTTTCATTTTTTAGTGGGCATGCGTTTGTATTAGCCATTTTTTTGTACTGTTTTTTGCAAACAAGCATGTTAAAATGCCCACGTGAAAAAATTATAATCGATAAATATTAATTCAAGTATATTCATTTAAAAGAAGGAAGAAAAAATTAGGTAATAAGTTTCTTAATTGAGAAAGTTTTTGCAATCAATTATTATTATGTTTATTATGTTATCTGTACGGACAAGAACAGAGAAACGGTATTGTTATGGAGTATGTGAAAGTGACACAAGGTATAAATCATTCAAAGGCAATGCGTTTTATTTTATAAATTTTCCAAAGTCTTGCCTGCAATATCGTAAAAAAATTATCAAATCATCAGGCAAAATTCATATTAAATGTTCAAAATGTGCATTATGAATAAAAAATGTCCAGTCATTTCCCTTTGTCAACAGTTGGGTCGACAGGTATATTATTTTTGAGTGCATTTTTTACCCTGAAAAATTAATTTATTTTTAATGTATTATCTGGTATTAGAGAAAATGTGTTTAATATTAAATACTACTTCGGTATACACAGTAATGTGATTAAAAATGTCATGCTGATCTTCAATAAATATTAAATAATTTATTTTATTAATTATATTCGTGATTAACTTTCATGTTAATTAAAGTGTTTTTGAAAGTACTCTAAAAGTTGGTTGGCATAATTAATTAATAGAGTTATACATTTTTCCCTTGTTGCAAACTTCCATGGCGCTACAATCGCCTTTTCAATTGCTCACAACTATGTGCTTCCACAGAGTTATAAGCAAGTGAAGGACCATTTACGATTTTTTCTAATGATTGATTAGTCTGTAGAGACAATAATACTTTCCCAACCATTGTCGATCAAAACAGTACGAAACTTTTAAAATACCGCTATATCAGTAGGGCGGCTGCGCTTGCGCTCATCACATGATAAAAATGCCTATTAGGCGAAATTTCCATTACAATTTTTTTTTAACTACGTTAGTGGCACTGAATATAAACCAACAGGCCAGTCAATTGTCAGGTTAACAAATAAAAATATATAACAGACTTTATTATTTTACAAAGTTTCTTTGCTTAATTTTATTTTTTTTTCTTTTTTCTCTTCTGTCTTTATTTTTTTTTCCTTTTCATAATATTTTTTTCGAGTCAGGTGTACAAATTTTTTTAATGGTAGCATCGCTACTTACATGCTTTATTTCTATTTCCTAATTACAATTTTAAGTGTTTTGACGAAATTATAGAGTATGTTATATATACTGTCAAATCACAGTAGAATTTTTAAATTTATAAGTAACTGAATTTAGTTGTTAATTAAGTTTTGATATAATAAATTAATTTCTAAATCATTTAGAATATAATCAAAAAATATATGTTGAAAATCAACAATCTCATCACAAATATACAAATCATTATCTAATATACCTATTTTGCTTGCCAATTTCGATCCATTTTATATCTGAAACAATTATTTAGATCGGATAGTGGTATTTTAAAATTACTTATGTAATTAAGTTTTGTTGCAGTTTTAGCCAAATAGTCTACTTTATCATTATTAGGTATTCCTATATGGGCTTTGACCCAATATATGTATATACGTTTATCCTAATTTATTGCCTCAAAATTTAGATTTAAAATGTCCAAAATTATATAATTAACTTTTGAATTAAAATTAAAATTTTGAAACTTTTGAACTAAACTTCTGCGGTCTGTGAAAATGACAAAATTTAGTTCCTCTTGATTTAAACATAACGAAAAGGGTTTTTTAATTGCTAATATTTCTGCACTATAAACTGACATACAATTTGGAAAAGGTTTTAAAATTTGGATATCTTTATTAGGATAATATAAAGCGTATCCTACTTAATTATTTAATTTAGAACCATCAGTATAAAGTGTTTCATAATGTTTCCATTTTGTATATCGATCAGTAATAGGTCAATGGGCGTAATCTCCAAAATGCAAATTTTACAGGAGACAAAAAAACTTAGTAATTTTTCTTCTAAGAGAAAAAAAAATACTAAATATTACTGGGAACAATTTTATAACTTGGGCTAATTAATTTTGTTTGCAGAAACTCATAAGCAAGCCCTTAGTATTTCTAATTAAATATTTTGTCACATTTATGTGGGTTACGGCCTTTGCCTTGTACTATGTTGGGGGTTTCACTATTAACCCCATGTAGCTTACGTCGTCTCATTAGCTTTTAACAGTGTAACAGTAAAAAAAACATTATTAATTATTTATTATTGTTAGCAGATATTTTAGTAGATTTTTTGTTTCCTTTTGGGTTGTTTTTGGATTTTTGTGATTTTTTTGTATTTTTGGGTACTCTTGGCAACGCATCATGTACATTTTCATCGGCCGAATTATCTTCTTCATCGGTTTCAGGTAATACATCTAATAGAGTATCCAAAGGTTTCAGCGACTCGTATTCTGCTCTATACATCGGTGGGATAATTGATTTATTTACCAGGGCAAGGAGATCTTTAATTTTTGCAGTTGCAAGTGGTAGTGCTGTACTATACAGTTGGGGAGGCATTTGGTTTAGCTGACTCCTACATGTTAACCTTTCGGGTAAGGTTAAAATTTGTGGTTCATCATCAGTTTGAAATGAATAATGTAGTTTTATTTTGTCACTTCCTTTTTTGAAAGCGAATCTTCGTATTTTACAAAACTGAATGGGCGCACCAGAATCAGTAAATTTGATATTATCAGGAAAAATTGATGCTTGTAAGACTTTAAAGTCGCTAAATTCATTGTACATTAGTTTTATAATATTATACGGTTTGTCTTGTCGAGAATTCCGTATGACAGTGGGCCATTCAGAGGGCGCCCAAATAACTTGTATCCTCACTTTATTTTGAATAGTGGCGTGCACAGAATCCACCGGCATGTAAGTATGCCCCGGTAGAAGGTACGTTATGAAGACGTCTTCTATATTTTTAGCAACGACTAGAAGAAACCACACAATAGCACTTATGACCTGGTGGTTTTTGTTTTGACCGGGGCATGAATCGAAAATAAGAGATACTGTCTTAACTGTTTGCCGGTCATCAACAATTTTTAAGTACTTACATAAATTAGAACAAATCTCATTTGCACCTCTCTTGCCATCTTGTTCACCCTAAAGGAAGCAGTAAACATTTCTTGTTGCCGATTCGTAACACGTATGGTTGTAATATGAGTATTTACGAGAGTAATATAACAACATACTCTCGCCATATGGCGTGTTGAGTACTTTTTGAAGATCGAAACTGCAACATACAAAACTAGGATCTTCTTTTGCTCGTTCTTGCTCTTTTTTATGTAAATTCTTACTGGCTTCTTTTTCAATAAGGTGAGCTTTCATTAAGTCCAAATTTTTCTCCATTTTATTCTTTTCTCCTTCACACGTGGAACACTTGTCCTTTTTCGGTAGATGAAAACCTATGTTGTAGTTACGCTTAAATATTACTCTAAACAACCTTTCAGTGACAAATTTATAAGTATTTTCTATACAGTGCTGCTTGTAAGTTCTGTATAAATTTACCGTGTTTTTCAATTCTACTGGTAAATAACGCTTTGTGCTCTTCGCGCGACAATAATGGGAGGGGACAGCAGGTAGCAATTTAATGAAACTGTCAATCGTTTGCATTACTTCAATTGGAGTTTTATTTTTTGGTTCCTTGTGTCCTCTATTTTCTGGTTTTGCTGTCCTCATCTCTGTTTTATTCTCATCTAAATAACGAATTTTCTTTTGAGTAATAGACAATGTAGCTAGAAAAAATTGTTGACACACTTGAATTTTTTTTCCATCTACTGGAAGAAAATACTCTTTAGAACATTTTCTACGACTTTCCACTGTTGGGCCCCCATATCGTCTCTTTTTTGGCACTTTTTCTACACATGAAGCTAGAAACTGATTTTGAATACCTTCGTTCGGCATTTTATAGTAGCTGTGAAAAATCTTGAGGCGTTGTTAATCATTGACATTCGTTGAGCAGTTATGTTGGCACTTTTTTCCTTTGTATGGATCAGGCTTCAGGAGTTTTGGAGGCTTTACTCTTTTATTTCTCTGAACATATTCCTTGCCATGTATTCTGAGCTCCCTGTTCCGTTCTCTAGTGTTACCTTTTCTTATCTTTCTGACACCTAATTCACCCACAACCTCTTGAACAGTATTATTGGGATCGTTTTCATGTAATATATTGGATGTGTCTACTTTTTCATTTATGTAAGGGGTAATACTGTTGCAACTAGCCCCAAGATTACTTAAAAAATTCTTGTTACTGGGGATTTCAGTAAGTTGTAGTTCGGTTTCATTTTCTTTGTTATTGTCATTTAACAACATCTTCGGAAATATGCTTGTTTCCCTGTTGTGAATTATCTATAATTTGTAATAGTTCATCATCAGGAACTAGCACCATGGTCCAATCATTATTTATGGCTTCACTCTCACAGGACATCTCAGATGTAGAAGTTTACATTATTTTAGTTTGGTTATGAAAAGTGTCAGGATTTTGAATAACATATTCTACTGAATTTAATTGTTCAGTACTTTTTGTAGGCGAAGCACAGTTTTGTTCTATGTTTCGAACATTATTTTCTGATGCATCCATACTAGAATCAAGGTAAGAAGTTGTTTGAGCATCATCCACAACATCTTGTAACATAGCCACAACTCGTTTTCCACGACTACACATATATAAAAAAATACCGCATGTTAATAATATTTTTTTTTGTTGAAATAAAGTAGTTGTTTTCTCAGTGTAAATACATAAAAATAAAAGATTAGTATTTGGTTGCTTTTATATACCGATAATTTCTCTTTAAATACCATTATTTTACTTACCATTATTTGCAACTCTGTTATAAACAGTGCCTAGTTATTCCAAATCAGCGAAAATAAACACACAATAACAAATTACGTCTCACCTCGTTGACAAGAAATAGCTAACTGAAGTATGGGTAGGTTAGGTTTGATCCGATTTATGTGTGAGGTTTATGCCAATTGACAGTTATTTCTATTACTTTTTTCTGGCTTACGCCAGTTTCTGTATGAGGGCTACGCCAATTGCTATTTATTTTTCTTACTTCTGTGTGGCTTACGCCCAAGGGTTACGCCGATTGACTTGTCCCAGTATACCTGATTCGTAGATTATAAAAAAATGTTTATTTCCAATTTCGCGCCATTTTTTGGTTTATGGGCTACGCCAGTTGACCAGACCGTAGAGAAATGTCGGTAGTCTCATAAATGACGGTAACGCCATTTACCAAAAATTGAGGGTTACGCCTATTGACCTATTACCGATCGATATAATTCTTCATAAAAAGTTGTCTTTATTAGTAAAGGGTTGTCAACGTCGAATTTTCCATTAATATAACTATTAACTGGCATAATAAAGGGGCGTTTGATTTGAAACTCGATCGAGCGAGCGTCGAGGAGACCGAGAAGTGATGACGTCACAATAGAGCATTGAATCAAATCAAATAAAACAGAGTAAAAAACATAACCTCGCTTTTTTTGTGATTCTTGTTTCTGGTTTGTATGTTAAAATAGTGAGCAAAAAGTAAAGAAAATGGAAAAACTTTTAATAATAAAGGGTAATGGTCCTGAAATGCAGCATTTACCACAAATGCCCGCTTCGCTCTCCTACTCCATGACTGTGATTACTGGTGATTAGATCTAGACAGAAAAAATATATTTTCCAAACACACATTTTGTGTTTTTTTATGATGAATAATTTTAGCTATAAGACAAAAGCGGCTAAGTAATTTGTTGACTTCTTGTCTGGTCTTTAATTTTGAGATTCAAATTTGTTTGTAAGTTAATTAAAAAGAGATAGGTAGAGACAAAGACAAATTTCTCCCTCTTCTCGATCTTTCTGCTCTGAGAACATCGAGCTCGCTCTATGTTCTCGCTCCAAAGCGAAACAAACACTTTAGGGATCTCTCGGAGTGTCAATTCAAACACTTTTGAAGCACTCGGAGATCTCCGATGATCAAATCAAACGCACCAAAAAGGGGCGTTTGATTTGAAACTCGATCGAGCGAGCGTCGAGGAGACCGAGAAGTGATGACGTCACAATAGAGCATTGAATCAAATCAAATAAAACAGAGTAAAAAACATAACCTCGCTTTTTTTGTGATTCTTGTTTCTGGTTTGTATGTTAAAATAGTGAGCAAAAAGTAAAGAAAATGGAAAAACTTTTAATAATAAAGGGTAATGGTCCTGAAATGCAGCATTTACCACAAATGCCCGCTTCGCTCTCCTACTCCATGACTGTGATTACTGGTGATTAGATCTAGACAGAAAAAATATATTTTCCAAACACACATTTTGTGTTTTTTTATGATGAATAATTTTAGCTATAAGACAAAAGCGGCTAAGTAATTTGTTGACTTCTTGTCTGGTCTTTAATTTTGAGATTCAAATTTGTTTGTAAGTTAATTAAAAAGAGATAGGTAGAGACAAAGACAAATTTCTCCCTCTTCTCGATCTTTCTGCTCTGAGAACATCGAGCTCGCTCTATGTTCTCGCTCCAAAGCGAAACAAACACTTTAGGGATCTCTCGGAGTGTCAATTCAAACACTTTTGAAGCACTCGGAGATCTCCGATGATCAAATCAAACGCACCAAAAGAGACAGGTATAGATTGGACCATAGCGATACGCCATTTGAAACTGGTAGCCCAGTATTTACTTATACTGGGCTAGTAGGTCATTACTGATACCTGAAGTAGAAATAAAACTATCAACTAATAATGGCAGTTTTTTCTTTTTCTAAAAGGATGAAGTTCATAGAGTAGTTAATCTGTTTACTTTATTAATTACTGTGAAATGTTTTGATCGGGATAATAATACAAATTTATCGTTCAGAAATTTCCTTCTTAGATCCAATAGACTCTCACATGTTTCGACTTCCATAACATTTATAGGAGTGCTTGGTAAGAATCCTACGCAGAGCCTTAGGCATTTATTTTTAATTTGTTCATTTTTCTGAAGATGTGAGTTTGCTGCTGCATTATAAAAAAATTGAACTATAATTGAACGAACCAGCATTCTATAAAACATTAGACTAACATTTGGGTCAGAGCCCCAATTATAACAACTAAAAGTTTTAATGATATTTACAGCATTTTGGGTTCTTTTCTGAACATAATTTATAAGTTCCTTTCAGTGGACTATATTAAAAACAATCCAAACAAAATTTTGCATTACAAAATATTTGTTTATAATAAAGAATATCAATTTTTATCAAATAAAGTAATTTTAAATATTTTCACACTAATATTTAAAACAATTTAGTTCCTTTACAAAACACAAGTGCCACTTCACTTTACATGCGTTTTGCCTTTGTACCCGGGATTCTTAGATCTAGTGAGTTTTCTGTTCTAATGATAATCTCATATCATTTTGTTATTCTTGTATAAGCGTCACTTCAAATGGTCTTATGTAGATTATAATATTTTCCTTCGATTATCGGACAGTGCAATTACCTTGACACCTCGTTTTTATCTGCGTCAAATACGTCTTCTAATTGCTTCAATATACCACCAGTCTCTATTTCTAGTTCATCATCATTTAAAAATGTTAGAAAAATGTCTTGATCGGTAGGGTCTTCTGGATGGCAATCTAAAAAAAAAACACTAATTTAGATCAGATGAATTTAATTTAAAACTCTAAGTGTACAAATTGGCTGATGGATCTGCATCTTTTTGCTAATTGAAATGGTATTTTTCAATTATTTTTACCTAATTTAAAGGCTAAATAATAAACAATAATAACTTACCCCAGTTTCCTGCTTGTTGACGCAGCTATTACAAGAACCTCCACTAAGCATCAAATATTAATAAAACTAAAACTGTGATCATGTCAAATTCACACTACTAATAGATGCACAGATGTATTAGGTCTGTTCTGGTTTTGAGAAATAACGATCCACAACTGTCGGGCTCATGCGTAGTATATAAAGTGTTCTGATTTTTCTCGGACTCTTTCGGATTTCTCAGTCCAGTGTTCTGGTTTCGTATCCGAAACAATCCGTGATTGTTGTAAACAGTCAAAATGTGTTCATGCTTCAGTCAGAGTGTAGATCGACTCGGACTGTTTTGACCGCGCATGCGCCCGAAGTGTTATGAATACTGTATTAGCATTTAAGGTAATTTTAAAATTATTAACTTTTTAAAATTATTCTCCCGTTTTTTTTATTCCATTGAAATGTGTTGAAGAAAATATATATTTTGAAACTGATACAGGTTTTTTAAAAACAATTTTATTGATTAAAATTACAAACGTCTTTGCTTGGCAAAGGCTAGACAAAATCTGATTTAATAAACTAGAGAATTAATGTAAAAGATTAAAATAACAAGCTAAGCACTGAAATATAATATGATACGATAAGGAGTCCGAATGTCAGCTGTATACGCTCACGTAACTCCTCCGTCCTTAAGACGCAAAAATAAGGGAGTTATTTTTGCGGTCTGAATTTTCTGGAATTTCCTCCATGTTGAGGGCTTCTTTTTCTTTCGTTTTTGAATTTTGGCATCTTCTTCTTACAAAAATGTATAAAAATACCATTATACATAAAATTATTAACGTTGAAAATATTGTTAATATTGGAATTTGGTAAGAGTCCTTTGGTTCATCTATTGGCGATAGCTGATTGGCGATTCTATTGATTTCGTATAGGTTGTCGAAATTTATTTTACTGATATTTGAAGTTTGATAATTTCTTCGAATTTTAAAAAGTTCAATTTTGAGTTTTGGTAGAATTAGCGTTTTTCCCTTTTGAATTTCTTGTTCATTTGAAAATGTAAAATCTCTTGACGTGATTTTACAGCCTTCTGGAATGCGAATAAGGGTTGGATTCTGAATTTTGAAAATTTGGTTACTTCTACAATACGACTTAACGTTTTCTGGTTCTTTGGGAACAATCATGATTTGA